TGCAACATGAACATCTTCTATCCAAACTAGGAGTGCTAAACATTTTTGCACCACCTAGTTTGAAGGGGAGTGTTGAGATACAAGAAGATGTAAAGGGCTGTTAAAGTTAGTTACAAGTAGGAAGGGTAGTTTAGTCCTTTCACTGTATGGTAGTTACAACAACTTGACAAGTTGATTAGTCAGAAGTTAGTTACAGAAATATGGATCTGTATATATATATCCTACAGATCATGTATCTAGTTATTCTTTCAGTCTCAATACAATGAATTTTCTTCTTTCTTAGTTCTCTCTTTTCATGTTCAAACTCTCTCAAGTTACGTTCATGTTCAAATACACTGCCTGGAATTGGAGAGCCATTATTGTCAAGAACTCTATAACAAGCTAACCTTGTTTCTGATGACTCTGAAATGAATTTCATTTGAGAAACAAATGGAATCTTTCCCCTGGGAAATCCATTGCCTGTTAAAAAGATAATATTATCCAAAAATTTCATAAAATATGATGAGAACCATTAAATTATAAAACATAAAACCTTCCTAGATTATCATATTTTACATACAATGCCCAAAGAAAGATTGAAAAGGGGAATCTGTTAGATGGTTGCAGTAATGTTAATTTTTTTATAAATCAAATTGTTACTAAAAGATCATTTATGAGTTATAATAAAAGGGCTATAATAAATTTTAGATAAATTTTACCAGTGTTTTGTTCATGTTCGGATATACAGGATTATTAAAATTAAAAATTCTCTATGAGATTTTTAAATAATTTTAGGAATTAAAATTACACCTATGAAATTTTACAACTCAAAGTAAACAATATTACCACCAAATTAAAAGGAAATTAACATTTATGTACGTTAAATAGATGATAAATTAGGTGCAATTTTGGTATTTTTATTGTGTTTAATTTTGACGATATAAAATAATTTTTACACAGTGGATTATACTGTCATAACTAATTACCTGGAAAATAAAGCAGCCAACCTAAGTTAAATTACGTTGTTAATATAAACAAAATGTACACGATCAGTGTGTATATATATTATAAGTTAAATCCTTTGTTATTTGATAGTAGGAGTAAAATACAAAATTTAGTAAATAAATTTCTGAACCTAGATGACGGCCGATACACTCGAAAAATAAAAAAATGGATGCGGAGGACAATTTTTAGCTTAGATAGGAGATCACAACAACAATAACATATTCAGTATAATCTCACAAGCAGAGTTTGGAAGGATGGTGTGTAGTACGCAATCTTATCCCTATCTTGGGAAGATAGAGATGTTGTTTCCAATAGACTCTCTACTCCGATTAAGTATTTCAAAGTATAAATATGAAAAGGGAATACAAAAATAAAGAAATCATTATTATGTAAATAATGAAGAAAAGAAATGTCGTAACAATGAATAATATTATAACCAAAACAAATAAAATAACAGGTAATAATAAAAATTGAAGAACACTAATTTATCAACATGGAATATAATTGGTAGGGATGGCAATGGGGCGGGGCGAATGTTGGGCGGGGTGGATTTAATGCTATGTGGGGCAGGGCGGGCTTAAGGTTGTGTGGGGCGGGTTGAAGTGGTTTTTTTTTTAAAATTAATGCGGGGCGGGGTGGGTTGCGGGTATATGTGATTTTATGTGGGTTCAAATTTAATTTTAACTTTTTACACGTTATAAGAGTGCATGATAGAACATTATTTATTAAGATAATTTATATAAGTCTACTAAAATATTCAAGATAGTATATGAAAATGGTTCAATAAAAAATAATACAATTTCTTACATGTTTTCCAATTGACCCCTAAAAAACAATTTTTTAAGTCACTATCCTATTAAATTAATACAACTTAATGAAAAAAAGAATTTATTGTTATGAATTTTATTTTTAGTATCAAACTTAACTAGAAAAAGAAAATATTAAAAAAATTATGCGGGGTGGGTTTATGCGGGGGGAGATGGGTCGGATTGAAAATGAAAAAAGTTGTTATGCGGAGCGGGGCGGGACGAATTAAAAAATTTGCGGGCTAAGCTCAACCCGCCCCACCCCTACCCCCACCCCGCACCGTCCCATTGCCATCCCTAATAATTGGAGCTAGTATATATAACTAAAAAAGAAGTTGATAATTTAAAACGTTACTTGGTTCTCATCATGTTTAATATCAACATGATAATACTCCTCCTCATAATAGCATTGTGGCTCTAGTTGCTTGGACTCAAAATAGGAAAATGGCCTTGAACCTCTAGGGTGAAGAAGAGATAAGGGACAATCCCTTTGAATAAAATGGTTAAAGATTCTTCTTGATCTTGAAATCCAAATGGCCATTGGTGGTGTTTCTTAATTATATATGGAGAAATTAATGAAACCATAAAAAAGAGCTTGAAGATGGTGTTATATATATAGAACAATACTATACAATATACATGCAACTACTCCAATAATGGAGTTTCCTTCTTTGGAAATAATAATTAAGAGGCTTTGGTTATGAGTTTGAAAGTCACTGGGGCTAAATAGGCGGGAACCCATTAGCAAGGGGGTGTATCTAGAGGGGGTTTCGTGAGTTCATGTGAATTTATCCCCTCTCTAGATCATATACAATAGTATTATATTTTTTGAAAATTACTTAAATATAAATGTGTGAATTCACGTTCAAAGTATCATATGATATGATGATAATTGAGTGTACCTCTCCAGGTGAAGTTAGAAATTTAAATCTTATATTCATGTTGTTTTGGGAGTAACACCTCTCCAAGTGGTTATCGGTAACACTTTTGGGGTTTCAATTATTTTTTTATTTTATTTTGTTTTAATCCTTCAAAATTTTCAAATGTGTTACATTAGAAATTCCATTTAGCATTGTAAACTTTTTTATATAATTAAATTAAATGTGTGTATTATAATTTAAAACTACTACTAGTATATATTTTGGACCTATAATTTTTAAAATTTAACGGTCTAGTGTTAAGAACTTGGAGGTCAAACGATCAAATTTATATCTTAAATGCATATTTTCGTAATAGTGCACTCATTCTCTCAAAATTCTGATACGTCTATGCCCATTACCAATTTCTTAAAATTGACATCAATTTTCACTTAGACACCTCAAATAGACCTTGTTCATTTTAAACACATGTAGTAGGCCTTCTTGTGTCATTTCAATATTTTTATTATATTCTCATATTCAGCATAAGCGCGTAATGACAAACACCTCCTACATAAAAAATAAAAATAAAAGACAAATTTGTCAAAAAAAAACTTCACTTTTACTTATTTTTTTCCCTAGAGATCTCTAAACCTAGGGCTTCATCCCCTTTCTTCATCTTCTTCATGTGCCTTCGTCTTCCCAAACTCCCATCAAGAACGGGAGAAAAGTATTCATATTTTGTGCCTTGAAAAATATTTTTTTTCTTTTCAAAAATTTCTTTCCTTTTTTTTATTTTTATTTCCGCTATTCCTTCTTCTCCACTATCTATATAATAAAACGGAGTGAGACAGGGCAAATTTTCAAAATATACTAAATGAAGTAGGACGGAACAAAGCGGGGCAAAATCTTTGTAGGTCAAGACTTGTCCTACCTAGCCCCACCCTAGCCCCCCATTGGACATTTCTATACAAAATATAGATGGAGCCCACAAAATATTACAAAAAATATTATATTTCTTAATTTAATGATCAATTAAATTACATCACATAATTTTTTACGAAAATAGTAAAAAATTTTAATGGGTATCGACAACATCAATAATATTACAACAATATATGTGTGGTCTAACAAATAAGATCTAAAAAACGTAAGTATATGCAAATGTTATTATTACCTTTGAGAGTAGAGAAGTTGTCACCGAATAAAAACTGTTTTTCAAAAAAATAAAATAAAATATATATATATATATATATATATATGCAACAAATTATTCTTCTTGCATAAAATAGAAAATAAAATAATACTGAAAAGATGGGTCGATGATCCATGCTAAAAAATATTGAAATGGTTTGATTATAGCATTTTTCCTATTCATCTTGCATAAAATAGAAAATAAGAAGAAATTAAAAAGAAATGTTATAAATTCTTTGAACTAAGTGGATTGTCTATTTAGTTTATTCATTAACTAATACTTACGTTCATGTATATGTATTCTCTAGATGATATAAATCTCTTTGGGATAACAATGTATCTACTAATTTGATATTCAACATGGTGACATTTAGAGTGATTTCTCAACCTATAAATATAAATATCATTCACCATTATAAGATATACCTGAATAGAAGAAAAATATGTCATTCATCTACATATCTTATCTTCTTCTCTTTATAATAGTTATATTGTTCTATAAGCTTAATTTTACGATAAAATCAATTTCCCTTCTCTTTTATTTTTTATTTTTCAAACGAAAAAATCGAATCATATCTCTAGCTAGACTGTGTAACACGCATTAATAATATCATATAGATTTACCTAACAAAAGTTGAAATACAAACTAGGCATAATATATTTAAAATTAAGATGAAAAGGAAAAAGGATCAAAATTATTCTTTATCTTTTAATATTATCTATCTAGCCAAATTTATCTCCACTGTTGATACTATACGATCAAATTATCTCTACTTTAGCAAACTTTTAAAAATTTGTCTTTTTTATATATTCAATAGAATATGCAACAAATTATAGTATCATGGTATATTGTAGGATACTTCAACTAGCAATGTAGCACATGAGACTTTTAGGCAGAAAACTTATTTAGATTAATGGCTATGTCATCATGAATTTCAAAAAGTGAATGATATTAGGACCATACTCCTAAGCCTTCAAACATTAATATTTGGACAAAATAAACATAATGAAACAAGCTCATGTCAAAGTGGCACACTGTTTTAGAGAGGCCAACACGGTTGCAGATCAACCAATAAAACAAAGTTGAGGGGTATTTCAGACCGTTTACACTAAAAACTATGTTAAGGTACGTACATACAACATACATTTACAAAGAAGATAAACAGATTCAAACTTAATTCAACTTGGATAATTCGTGCAAATTCAGACTAAAGATACAAGCATGCACACCCACAACTGCATCGTATATTCATATTACATAGTGGACATTACTGGAATACAACGCTACCAATTTCAAATCGAATTTTTTTGAAAATGTAGCCTATAGAGGGATATTAGTAGGATAATCATTTGGTCGTTTGTTTATCGCGTCTCTAATATACCTCTCTTGTTCTTGAAGATGTAATGGGATTTGATCATAAACATCAGTAAACAAATCTGTCAAGGGAGGTTTCTCTGTTTCCTCAGCTCTTTCAAGTGCTTGCAACACCTACATTAATTTTTTTAAAAAATCAACAAATAGTAGAATTGAACAAAAATCAAATCAAATCAAATACATTTTAGGATTTTTGAATCTTGAACCTGCTCTTTGGTATTTCCCCGGAATTCTAGTTCCTCTTCATCACTCCACCAACCATTTTTCTGTCTCCATTTTCTGAATCTGGCTACTGAGCATCGTCTTCTCCAGTACTCGATCTCCTCCCTGGATCGGTACTTGGTTGAATCATCAGACGATGAATGGTCGCTTACTCGATAAGCCATGGCCTAATTATAAGTGTTACAAAATGGAAGTTTTATAAGCATGAAACCTTATACGGAAATAATAGGAAGGGAATAGGGCCTGATATATTTCTCAACTTTGCGATTTAGAGTTGATATAACATTCCTTATAAAAGTGACACACATATACCGCTACTATTACACAAATGGCCCAGAGCCACTTTTGTAACGGTAGGGGTACGTATATGTGAGCTACTTTTGTAACAGTAAAAGTATATGTGAGCCACTTTTGTAACGAGGGTATGTATATCAGGCATGTTTCCCTAATAAGAATAGCTGAATTTCATACCTCTACTATTATTGGCCTTTGTTCCTTTATTGCCATTTCACGAGCTGCACGAGTAGCACTATAAACTGCAAGGGCATCATTGCCATCCACTCGAATACTTCTAACTCCATAAGCTTGCCCTTTAATCGCGACCCCATCACCTACCATTGGAAAAATATTTAGGAGAAATGTACCTTATGTTGTCTGAGATACGAACCGTGTTTGATATTATGTAGTTAAGAGCCCGTTTGGATTGGCTGGTTTGACCAACTTTTAAGCCAATCCAAACAGGCTCCAAGTCATTTTCAGAAAATATTTCTCGAAAATGACTTTTGAATAACCAAACACGAGAAAATAACTTATTACATAGAAAACATTTTTCGTTGAATATCTTTCAACCTTAAATAGATTGAATTGAGTCAAGGGGAATACTTCGGAATTGCTCTGCAACAGGGGTGCTAACGGCCCATCCATTGTTGCGGCATAGAAATATAATAGGAGCTTCAAGAACTGCCGCAAAATTCAAAGCAGCGTGGAAATCTCCCTGAAAATAACTCAACACAAACTCATTAAGTAAAACTACCTTATCTTATAAGAGAAAATGCCATAAATTATACTCCATCCGGTCCGTATTAATTTCTAGGAATAAGTAGTTTCTTAAGGGATAGCGCGGAGGGAGTAGTACTCATTCAAAATCACCTCACTAGTGGTACCATCTCCAAAATAAGTGACAACACAAGCCTCCTTTTTATCCATTTTCAGCGCATAAGCCACGCCTACGGCCTGTGGAAGTTGTGTGCTGGGGAAATGAACAATATTAGTTTAATTAGACGATACAACAACAACATACGCAGTGTAATCCTACAATGTGTATGCAGTCTTACCCCTCGACTCAAGTGAAGCATATATATAATTTGAATCAATCTTGTGCTAGGAAAAAGGGTAGAAGAGTCTTACGCGATAGGTGAAGAGACGGTGAAATAATTGAGCTTGTTAGAACCATAATGTATTGGCATTTGCCTGCCTTTTCCATTGTCACCCTTATTTCCAAGCAATTGACTGGTAAATTCTTGCAGGGTGAAGCCACGCCATAACAGAACACCGGGCTCCCTGTACTGCAATCATGATAAAAATGTGTTTACATTTTCATCTAACGCTTTAAAAGGTACGTGTGAGGCAGAATGTTTTACATAACACGTAACAGGGGAGTTGAATTTATGAATAATGTAAAAATATGATATCTGGACCTAACTCAACCCCAAAAGCTAGCTCATGAGGGGAGGTTTGTCCAAGTCTATATAAGGAGACCGAATTTCAATACATCTTAACACTCCCCCGCACGCCCAACTAACTCATGAGGGGACGTTTGTTTGTCCAAGTCTATATAAGGAGACCAAATTCCAATACATCTTAACACTCCCCCGCACGCCTAGACATCAATTGGAGCATGAACACTTCTAAATAGGGGGCCATCATCGGTGAACAACAAATTGGAATGGACTTGACTCTGATACCTTATAAAGATATGACATTTGGACCTAACTCAACCCCAAAAGCTAACTCATATACTCACATTTCTTCTTGATTTTAGTTTTCTTCAACAAAAATAGGTGATTTTATGAGATAATAACCATTAGTTGAGGATGGTTAGAAAAATAAGACGGTCAAAATTTACCTGAGGCAAGACAATATCATCTGTGGTGAGAGCAGCAGCAGAAGCTATGTTAATGACTTCTTCTCCAACACTGGTCAGATAAAAGGACAACCTCCCTCGTTTTTTTGCTTCATCAAAAATGTTGTCCATTATTTGAAGGGTCACCATTGTACTATACATCTTCACTGCCAAATCTCTCCTCACCTAACAAAGCACCAAACCACATATCATGCAGGGGATGCGCGCGGTTGAATCTTGTGGTTATAAACATGCCATGTAGGAAGTCGGAATTAAAGATCTTACGTATATAGTAAGACATACAAATGATTAATACCCTGCGGTTTGCTATATATTAGTTATACATAGATTGAAAATCCTACCAAATAAAGAATTAAATAGGGATAAGGCATAAGTACCCCTAGTCTATGACCGAAATCTCAGAGACACACCTTAACTAAACTAAGGTCTTATTACCCCTGATCTCATTTTTTTATAATTTTGTACACCTTTTTGGCCTACATGACCTCCAAACATCTATCACGCACCTCAACAAAGTGGAGTCACGGAGTGTGCCACGTAACTCAAAAGGTGTATAAAATTACAAAAAAAAATGAGATCAAGGGGTAATATAAGGCCTTAGTTTAGTTAAGGTGTGTTTCTGGAATTTCGGTCATAGTGTAGGGGGATACTTATGCCTTATCCCAATTAAATAATACTCCATCCGTTTAACAAAGAATGGTCTAGTTTGACTTGGCACGGAGTTTAAGAAAATAAGAAGACTTTTGAATCTTGTGGTCCTAAATTAAAGTTATGTCAAATGTACAAAATTGCCCTTTAATCTTGTGGCCTTAAACATGCCATGTGGAAAGCTGAAATTAAAATGTTACCAAAAAAAGAAAGAGATCATTTTTTTAAACAAACTAAAAAGGAAAGGAGTTCATTCTTTTTTTAACGAAGAGAGTACTACGACTAATGCATGTTTTAGATTTTCTAATACATTCTACCAAACGGCCCGTTATTGGTTTAGTACAAATACAATGTAGGAGAATTTTTTCCTGAATTGAAATTAATTACCTGTTCAAATACACTGCCTGGAATTGGAGAGCCATTACTGTCAAGGACTCTATAACAAGCTAACCTTATTTCTGATGACTCTGGAATGAATTTCAGTTGAGAAACAAATGGAATTTTTCCTCCTGGGAAATCCATTGCCTGTTAAAAAGATAGTATTATCTAAAAATTTCATTAAAATGATGAAAATCATTAAATATTAAATATAAAACAAAGAAATGACGATCGTGCTTGACTTGGACTGAGATGGTCAGGCTAGCTCATGTGACCTCAACGTCAATAAGGAATGCAATCAACATGGATTGTGGTAGGATGATTGGGTTCTCTCCACATTAACTAGAAGTCTCGGGACATTACTAGAAACAAAGATTTTTCCCACCACAAATCAGTAGAAAAATTTATGTTGTAGAATATGATTTTCCCACTCATCTCTCAGTATCGAATCAGCTCACTAGAAAAATCCATGATGGGAAACAAATTGTCACTGAAATAGTGAGAAATTTTCACATTATTTGTTTCCCATCATGCAACAACAAATAATATGATAACCATAGCAAAAAAAACAATATGTTATGATAAAATCGAATAACATTAACTAATAATCAATATGAAATAAAAATGGAGATATAATCAGACAAAATTGTGTAGTTAATAAATAGCAAAAATTTCATGCTAATCCCATTTCGCTACAGATTAGCAAGGGGTTATAAGATAACTAGCAAAAGATTTTTAGCTACAAATTAGCTAGGAATTACTAACAAATTTGGTAGCTAATTTCATGTTTTCACCATAGTAGTGATAGTATATTATATAACTAAAAAAGAAGTTGATAAATTAAAACATTACTTGGTTCTCATCATGTTTAATATCAACATGACAATCCTCCTCCTCATGATAGCATTGTGGCTCTTGTTGCTTGGACTCAAAATAGGAAAATGGCCTTGAACCTCTAGGGTGAAGAAGAGATAAGGGACAACCCCTTTGAACAAAATGGTTAAAAAAAATTCTTGAAATCCAAATGGCCATTGGTGGTATTTCTTAATTTTGAAAAAACTAATGGAAAAAAAAGTGCTTTGAAGATGGTGCTTTTTTATTTATTATTTATAAAGAAGACAAGAATACTAGACATGCAACTACTCCAATTAATAATGGAGTTCCCTTCTTTGGGAAATAATAATGAAGAGGCTTTGGCCTTTGGTGATGAGTGAGATTTGTAGGGGCCGCTAAATATAGAATATTTCTACTCTGATTTGGTTATATAATAAAAGAACAGGAAAATGATCAAATATATTCCTATAAATTTCATTGAGTTAGCTCTACTTGATCGAATCAGCCAGCCTCTTTCGTTCCGTCCACGCTCCCTTTAGTATTCAAATTCCACTGAAATTGGTGTGCTTGAACGCAAGGTATAGCCAGAACTCTTTCGTAGGTAGCTCTCGAGGCAATGACTTAAAACTAATCTCCCGCAAGCAAGAAGCGGTTTTCGTTCGATCAACGAACTCAATCGTACTTTTACTACTGTAGACCGACGTTCATAAAGCACACAACACAACAAAATGAAGAATGTTGGTTTTAGGAGCATTTTAATATTATAAAATTATGTTGAAGTGCTGTCTCCAATTCCTGTCAGAAATTAGACCATTATACCTTAATTACTCAGCATGGTCCATTACTCTTTTAGCCGTTGAATTTGGCTTAATTGTCACACTTCATTGCTGATTAAGTTTGATGTGAACGTTGGCCATTTTTGTTGTCCGTTGTGGCTTTCTGGCAGAACGTGTGTAGCGGTCAACTATGACCATTACTTCTTCACTCTTAATTTCTAATTATTCTTTGTAACCTAGGTAACTCCTAAGGCCATTATCTTCATTATTTACTATCCCATTATCTTCCTATTTATTACTAGCTAGGAAGACTTCTTCTAGTATAAATAGTGGTGGTCTTCATTTGGCTTGTAACACACAATACACAAGAAAAATATAGAGTTCATAAAGTTTCTCAAAAAGAGAGTTCTTATTAATTGAAGGGAGGTGTTTTTTTTGTGGAGCTTTGGACTCAACTCTTGTCCAGAGTTGTTGAGTTATACTTTGTGTTAAGGCTGTTGTATCCTGGAGGGGACAAGTCAAGAAGGACTACTGCTGGACCGGTGAAAACATTTGCTGCAGTGTGCTTGAATTTCCTTAAAGAGAGTGAGCTATCGGCGCCTCAGCCTGAAGAGATTTATTTCTTCATTTTTATTTTCAATTGTAATCTTGTATTTTTGTTATCTTGTAATTTTTCACTAACAATTTTAAGGAAATTTATAATGTTTACAATTGAAAAAACCGCGGATGTCAAGATGACAGACCTTAACAAGCCATTTCGGTTCAATGGTAACCATTTCAAAAAATGGAAGGGTAAAGTATTTTTCTACTTAAGTCTTCTCAATGTTTCTTATGTGTTAACTGAGAAGAATCCTAATAAAGTTGATGACACCACCATGGATGATGATGAACTTATTTATCATCATGAGAAAGTGGAAAAGTACGATGGTGAAGAGGCAAAGGGCCAAGATGCACTTTTACAAAAAAAAAAAGAGCAACATCACAACGAAGGTAAATTTAATTACTTCAAATAATACTACTCTTGAAACTAACAAAAATACTTCTTTGAAGCATAAGAAGAAAAAATTTAAGAAAAATAATAGTAGACCTTCCAAGAAAAATAATGGTGAAAATAGCAAAGCACAAAATCAACAAGTTCAAGATAAGGGACCGTACTTTGTTTGTGGCAAGAGAGGGCATATTGCTTGATTTTGCAGATTCCGAAAACGTGGACCCAACCCTCAGGAAAACGTTACCGAAGAACCTTTTGTGGCGGTGATTACCGACATAAACATGACTGAAAGTGTTAATGGATGGTGGTTGATTCTGGTGCAAACTGTCATGTCTATTATGACAAAGACTGGTTTAAAAAATATACTCATTTTGAGGAGTCCAAAACCATCATGCTTGGTGATTGTCACAAAACTCAACTGCTTGGAATGGGAGATGTCGAATTGTGTTTTACCTCTGGAAGGGTGTTAGCTTTGAAAGATGTACTCTATACTCCTTCCATGAGAAAAAAATTGATGTCTAGTTTTCTTCTTAATAAAGCAGGCTTTAAACAGATTATTGAATCTGATCAATAAGTAATAGTGAAGAAGGGTATTTTTGTGGGAAAGGGGTATGCATGTGATGGGATGTTCAAATTGAATGTAGAAGTGAATAAAGCTTCTACATCTGTTTATATGCTTTCTTCTACTAATTTTTGGCATGCTCGTTTGTGTCATATTAATGATCGTTATGTTGGAATCATGAGTAGTTTAGGATTAATTCCAATGATTAAAAAGAATTTTGAAAAGTGTGAGGCTTGTAGTAAAGCCAAAATCACTAAATTAAAAATAATTTTGAAAAGTGTGAGGCTTGTAGTAAAGCCAAAATCACTAAAAGGCCTCATTTTCAAGTTGAAAGAAAAACTGATTTGTTAGAATTAGTTCATACTGATATTTGTGAACTTGGTGGAATTTTAACTCGTGGAGGTAATAGATATTTTATCACTTTCATTGATGATTTTTCTAAGTTTACATATGTTTACTTGATGAAAAATAAAAGTGATGCTTTTGAAAATTTCAAAACTTATCTCCATGAGGTTGAAAATCAGTTTGGAAGAAAAATAAAAAGAATTAGAAGTGATAGAGGCCGTGAATATGAGTCAAATGCGTTTAATTCATTTGTTAGACATTGGGAATAATTCATGAAACTACTCCTCCTTATTCTCCTTCATCTAATGGAGTAGCGGAAAGAAAAAAAATAGAATTTTGGTTGAATTGTCTAATGTCATGCTTATTGAGTCACATGCACCTTTAAATTTATGGGGTGAAGCTATTTTAACTGCTTGTTATGTGTTGAATCGTGTACCTCATAAAAAGTCAAAATTGACACCCTTTGAATTGTGGAAAGATTACAAGCCAAGTTTGGGATATCTAAGAGTTTGGGATTGTCTAGCCTTTGTGAGGCTAATGGATCCCAAGATTACAAAATTGGGTAAGAAAGTTACTAGTGCTTTTCTTGGTTATGTTTCAAATGGTAAAGCCTATAGATTTTTTAATCGTGAAGATAATATTGTGATAGAATCGGGTGATGCTATTTTTCATGAAAATAAATTCCCTTTTGATTCTAAAAATAGTGGGAGTCAAAGGATTGAACAAAATATTTTGTCACTACCTAGTTCTTCTACTTCTACTTTAAAAATTAAAAGAAATTGATGATTTTGAGTTAAGAAGAAGTAAAAGAACTAGAGTAGAAAAAGATTTTGATCCTGATTTTTTATGTATTTAATGTTGGAGATGACCCTCTCACTTTTGAAAGAAGCATTATCTTCACACGATTCTATATTTTGGAAAGAGGCTGTAAATGATGAAATGGAATCATTAATTTCTAATAAAATTTGGAAGTTAGTTGATTTACCACCGGGTTGTAAAACTATTAGTTGCAAATGGGTCTTAAGAAAAAAGCTGAAACCGGATGGATATATTGATAAATACAAGGCTAGGCTAGTTGCAAAAGGTTTTAAACAGCTAGAAGGCCTAGAATTTTTTTATACTTTTTCATAGGTAACAAAAATTACATCCATAAGACTTTTAATTGCTATGGCTACAATTTTTGATTTGCAAATTCATCAAATGGATGTAAAAACTGCTTTTTTAAATGGAGACCTAAATGAGGAAATTTATATGGATCAACCCGAGTCTTTTGTTAAAGCAGGCCAAGAAAGCAAAATATGTAAACTTACTAAATCCATGTATGGCTTGAAACAGGCACCTAAGCAATGGCATGAAAAGTTTGATTCCTGCATGATTGAAAATGGTTTTAAAACAAATAAGTGTGATAAGTGCATATATCATAAGTCTTAGAATAATTCACATGTGATTATTTGCCTATATGTTGATGATTTGTTGATCTTTGGCTCTAACATGAATGTTATTGATGAAGCTAAAAATATTCTTAGAAGCCATTTTGATATGAAAGATCTTGGTGAGACAAATGTTATTCTTGGAATAAAAATAACAAGAACATGTGATGGTATTTTCCTTGACCAGTGACATTATGTTGACAAAATTTTGAAAAAATACAACTTTCTTGATTGCAAGCATGTTGCAACTCCTGTTGATTCAAGTGTTCACTTATTTCATGTTGAAAGTGAAAATGATGTAATAAATCAAAAGGAATATGCTAGCATAATTGGAAGTTTGAGGTATGTGATTGATTGCACTAGGCATGATATTGCATATGCAGTAGGAGTACTTGGCAGGTTTACAAGCAAGCCAGGTAACGAACATTGGCATGCTGTAACAAGAGTTATGAGATATTTAATTGGAAATTGTGGTTTGTTCTATAAAAAAATATTCTGTTGTACTTGAAGGCTTTTGTGATACGGATTGGAACATTTTATCAGGTGGTTCCTGTTTTACCACTGGTTATGTCTTTACTTTAGGTGGTGGTGCTGTTTGTTGGAGATCAAAAAAGAAAACTATTATTGCTAACTCTACCATGGAGGCTGAACTAATTGCTTTAGCTTTAGCTAGTGAGAAAGCGAATTGGTTAAGAGATTTGTTATTTCAAATACCTTATTTTGAAAAATCAATTCCTTTTATTTTAATTCATTGTGATAGCACCGCTTTGATTGGTAGAGTTCAAAACCGTTACTACAACGGTAAATCCAGACCTATAAGAAGGAAACACAGTAATGTAAGATCGTATTTGACAATTGGTACCATTAATGTTGATCATGTAAAATCTTGTGATAATCTTGCAGATCCTCTTACTAAGGCCTTAACGAGAGAAAATGTCTGGAGCACATCGAGGGGGATGGGATTGAAGCCTACAAATCCTTGAGTCATATATGAGGAAATCCAACCTGGGACTAGAGATCCTATAACCAGGTTCAAAGGGAAAAACTAATCATATGATGACTTGTTGTAAAAAAAATGCACTATTTTTTTATTCCTCCCTATGATGTGAGTGCATTGTTTCCTGTAGTAAATTGTGGAGGTTGAGTTTTCAAAAAACTCTTAATGAAAAATCTATAGCCCGTATGGGTGGAGTGTTAAACTTATAGGAGCACTCTCGACAGATATCACTTATGTGAGTGTGGAAGTAGGTCGCTTCCTATGAGAATTGGCTTATTCTCA